CGCCCCAGGTTTGTTTCACTCCGCTCCCCAGCCCCGCCTCAGTCCGGGCCCCGCCCCAGGTTTCAGTTTCGCTCCACTCCCCATCCCCGCCTCAGTCCTGGCCACGCCCCAGGCTCCAGCTTCACTCCGCCCCAGCCCCGCCTCTCAGCCCTAGCCACAGCCCCGGCCCAGCTTCACCCCGCTCCCCAGCCCCGTTCTCTCAGCCCTGCTCATACTCCAGGCTCCAGCTTCCCTCCACTCCCAGCTCCACCTTTCAGCCCTGGCCACACCCCAGGCCCAGCTTCACCCCGTCCCCTAGCCCTGTCTCTCAGCCATGGCCACGCCCCAGGCCCCCAGCTTCAACCTGTCCCCAGCCCCGCCTCTAAGCCCTGCCCATACCCCAGGCTACAGCTCCAACCTGCCCCCCAGCCCCACCTCGCAGCCCTGGCCACGCCCCAGACTGCAGCTTCACCCTGCCCATAGCCCCGCCCCAGGCCCCAGCCTCACCGTGTCCCTAGCCCGGCCTCTAAGCCCAGGCCAGCCCAGACACCCATTCCTACCTCAGGGCCTTTGCACATGCTGGGTTCCTGCCGGAACTACCCTTCCCTTCCCTCCTCCGTATCCTTAATTCTCAGTTATGATGTCCTGGGCATGGGGGTGACCCTCCCCAAACCCCACCTCTCCAGGCTGGGCCAGGTACCTCCTCTGGGCCCCTACAGCACCTGGACTTGTACCATCAAAGCTCCCATCCTTGGTGCCCTAACCCCCTGGCCCGTGCCTGTCTGTTGTGAGCCTGTTGGGAAGGACACCAGGTCTGTCTGCTCACGCTGGGTCCCAAGTGCCCAACCCAGGGGCTTGGCACACAGCAGGCACTCAATTATTGCTCGTAGAATGAACCAAGAAATGATGGCATGCTGTGTAACCTTGACCGGCCTGGGCCTCGGCTTCCTCAGCTATAAAATGGGCCCGTAAGGCACTCAGAGGTTTCATGAAGAGATGCCATGAGATCACGCAGGATGTCATGGGTTGAACTGTGTCTCCCCAGTCCTAACCACCAGTACCCCAGGATATGATCCTATTTTGACACACGGTTTTGTACAGAGGCAATCGAGTTAAAATGAGGTCATTAGGACACTAATCCATATGGCTTGTGTGCTTATTAAAAGGGGAAATCAGGCTGGGCGCAGTGGCTCACTCCTATAACCCCCGCACTTTGGGAGGCTGAGGCGGGTGGATCACGAGGTCAAGAGATCGAGACCATCCTGGTCAACATGGTGAAACCCCGTCTCTACTAAAAATACAAAAATTAGCTGGGCATGGTGGCTCGTGCCTATAATCCCAGCTACTCAGGAGGCTGAGGCAGGAGAATTGCTTGAACCCGGGAGGCGGAGGTTGCAGTGAGCTGACATCACACCATTCCATTCCAGCCTGGGTAACAAGAGCGAAACTCCGTCTCAAAAAAAAAAGGGGGGGATCAGCAGCTCCGTGGGAGGCTGAGGCGGAAGGACTACCCAGGAGTTCAAGGCTGCAGATGGTGCAATGATGAGCTATGATGGTGCCACTGCACTCCAGCTTGGGGGACAGAGACTCCATCTCCAAAAAAAGAAACACTGCCAGGTACCTTGGCTTGTGCCTGTACTCGCAGCCTTGAGAGGCCGAGGCGGGAGGACTGCTGGAGCCCACAGTTCAAGAACAGGTTGGGCATATGAGATCCCATCTCTGCAAAATATTCTGAAATTATCTAGGCATGGTGGCATGCATCTGGAGTTGTAGCCGCCCTGGAAGCTGAAGTGGGAGGATGGCTTGAGCCCAGGAATCAGAGGCTGCAGTGAGTTATGATCACACCACTGCAACACACAGAGAAAATGTAATTTTTTTTATTTGAGACACGGTCTCGCTCTGTGGCCCAGGCTGGAGCGTAGTGGCGCGATCTTAGCTCACTGCAGCTTCCACTTTCCAGGATCAAGCAATTCTCCAGCCTCAGTCTCCCGAGTAGCTGGGACTACAGGTGTGAGCCACAAATGCCCAGCTAATTGCTGTATTTTTTTATAGAGACAGGGTCTTGCTATGTTGCCCAGGTTGGTCTTGAACTCCTGAGTTTCAAGTTCAAGTGATCCGCCTCTGTCGGCCTCCCAATGTGTGGAGATTACAGGCATGAGCCACCACGCCTGACCAAAAATGTGGATTTTACTGGGAAAACAGGAAGTAGCTGCACAAGTATCTGAAACCTCCAGACCTTCTGTCTGTCTGCTCTGTGTAGTTTGCTCTGGCCCACAAAAATCAGGAAAATAAGCACGTGTCTGTCATGCCTGAGCTTTTAACAATAGTGTGAATCATTTTTCTTACCAGAAATAACAATAGGCAGCCTGGGCAGCATAGTAAGACCTAATGTCTACAACAAACTAAATTAGCAGCGGGCCGCAGGGGCTCACGCCAGTAATCCCCGCTCTTTTCGAGCCTGAGACAGGCAGATCATGAGATCAGTAGTTCGAGACCAGCCTGACCAACATAGCAAAACCCCGTCTCTACTAAAAATACAAAAATGTAGCCGGGCGTGGTGGCGGGCGCCTGTAATCCCAGCTACTCGGGAGGCTGAGGCAGGGGAATCGCTTGAACCTGGGAGGCAAAGGTTGTAGTGAGCCAAGACTGTGCCACTGCACTCCAGCCTGGGTGACAGAGCAAGACTCCAACTCAAAAAAAAAAAAAAAGTCTCCCCCAAACACAAAGGGCAGGGTACCATTCCACCTTGAGCCACCAGGGGTAGCTGCAGATAGCGTCGTTCAGAAATCGGTGAGGCTGGGAAAACTGAGCCCTGGGACGGAGGCCTCACCCCTCCCACCCAGTCTCCATCTGTGCAGTGGTGGGAACGGAAGTGGCATCATCAGGGCTTTCTTCGCCCAATGCAGGGAGAGGCCCACATGAGAAATGGCTGGGATGGGAGCACCATCCCAAGACCACTGCATAGTTTATGGATTTTTATGATTGGTTGATTGATTGATTGATATAGGGTCTGGCTCTGCTGCCCAGGCTGGAGTGCAGTGGCGTGATCACGGCTCACCGCAGCTTCGACCTCCTGGGCTCAAGGGATCCTCTTCCCGCCTCAACCTCCCGAGTAGCTGGGACCAGAGGCGTGCACCATCACACCTGGCTAATTTTTGTGTGTGTGTATATATATATATATATATATATATTTTTTTTTTTTTTTTTTTTGGTAGAGACAGGGTTTGACCACATTGCCCACGCTGTTCTCAAACTAAACTGCTGGGCTCCAGGGATCCGCCTGTCTTGACCTCTCAAAGAGCTGGGAAATTGATTGATTGATTGAGACAAAGTCTTACTCTATTGCTCAGGCTGCATTGCAGTGGCACAATTATGGCTCACTGCGACCTCCAACTCCTGGGCTCAAGGGATTCTCCCACCTCAGCCTCCTGAGTAGTTAGGACTACAGGCATGTACCACCATGTCTGGCTAATTAAAAAAATTTTTTTTATATAGAGATGGGGTCTTGCTATGTTGCCCGGCTGATCTTGAACCCCTGGGCTCAAGCAATCCTCACTTTGGCCTCCCAAAGTGCTGGAATTACAGGCGTGAGCCACCACGCCCGGCCTACATGCAGTTCTTTAGTGAAAACCTGCCATCCTCTCAGCTCCCACACCCTCCCTAGCTCCTGACCATCCTCAGGGGGAAGGTCCCTTTCTCAGCCTGGTCTCTGAGGCCATCTACCCTGGCCCTGGCTACCAACCCCAGGGGCTCACTGACCTTGCCTGTTCCCCAAGTTCATGTCCCTTCCAGCCTCCTGGCCTTTGCCCACCTCCTGCTGCAATCCCCTTTCTGGTGAACTAACTACTCACCCTGCTCCTTAATGCCACCTCCTCCAGGAAGCCCACCCGACAACCCCGAGCAGGCTGTGTACAGCTGCCTGGAAACCAGCACTCTGAGAACAGGGACAATCCTCCACCTCATTCTCACGTGCCCTTGCACCCAGCAGCCCCCACAGGGATCGGCATCTGTCTGGCACTCAATCAGTGCTCACAGGATGGATTCGAGACATCAGTGAAAGGGAAGCAACCCAGCCCCTCCCAGGGCAGCGTGTGGGCAGACTCACCCATGACCTCCAGCTGCACATGCATGAAGCTCTCGGCCTCATCCTGGAGGGTGCTGTGGGCGCGCAGTGGCACCGGCAGGAAGCCGTATTCCTCCTTGTTGCACACATACATCTGTACCTCTGCGTGGGCAGGGAAGCAACAGACAAACGTGAAAATGGGTCAGGCCCAGTGCCTCACACCTTCCATCCAGGGCTTCAGGAGGCCAAGGCGGGAGGATCACTTGAGGCTGGGTGTTTGAGACCAGCCTGGGCAACAGAGGGCGAGACCTCATCTCGGCCAGGCGCGGTGGCTCACGCCTGTAACCCCAGCACTTTGGGAAGCCCAGGTGGGTGGATCACTCCAGGCTGAGTGACAGAGTGAGACCGTGTCTCTAAAACAATAAAAATAAAAATAAAACATAAAAACTGTTGTTAGCTTGTGGTGGTATAAAAGCTATCAGTGGGCGGGGCTTGGCCCGTGGGTCAGTTTGCCAACCTCTGGTTTCCAGTTAACAAGTCAACATGAGGCTGTCTGTCTCTTTACACACCAGCCTTCCAAATTAAACAATTAATATGTGCTCGGCTGTAGAAATCAGGAGAATTGGCCAGGCACCATGGCTCACGCCTGTAATCCCAACACTACGGGAGGCTGAGGTGGCTGGATCACTTGAGGTCAGGAGTTTGAGACCATCCTGGCCAACAAGGAGAAACCCTGTCTCTACTATAAATACAAAACTGAGCCGGGGGTGGTGGCGCACGCCTGTAATCCCAGCTACTCGGGAGGCTGAGGCAGGAAAATCGCTTGAATCTGGGAGGCAGAGGTTGTGGTGAGCTGAGATTGCACCATTGCACTCCAGGCTGGACGACAAGAGCGAAACTCTGTCTCAAAATAATAAAAAAAAGAAAAGAAAATTGTGTAAAGGGTTCAATGTACATTATTTGGTGGATGGATGCCCCAAAATCTCTGCCTTCACCACTTCACAATCTATACATGTAATAAAAATACACTTGTGCTCCATAAGTTTATATAAAGTAAAAAATAATAGTAACATTCAATTAATAGATCTCTTTTTCCTGAGACAGAATCTCACTGTGTCTCCTAGGCTGGAGTGCAGGGGTGCGATCTCGGCTCACTGCAGCCTCCGCCTCCCAGATTCAAGTGATCCTCCCACCTCAGCCTCCCTAGTAGCTGTGATTACAAGCGTGCTCCACCATGCCCGACTAATTTTTGTATTTTTAGTAGAGATGGGGTTTCACCATGTTGGCCAGGATGGTCTCAATCTCCTGACCTCAAATGATCTATCCACCTTAGCTGGGATTACAGGCATAAGCCACTTCACTTGACCAACCAATAGATTTTCTGGTTTTTGTTTTTTTTTTTTTGAGATGGACTCTCACACTGTTGCTCAAGCTGGAGTGTAATGTCACGATCTCAGCTCACAGCAACCTCTGCCTCTCGGGTTCAAGCAATTCTCCTCCTCAGCCTCCCAAGTAGCTGGGATTACAGGCACCAGACACACCAGGCTCATTTTTGTATTTTCAGTAGAAACGGGGTTTCACTATGTTGGCCAGGCAGGTCTCGAACTCCTGACCTTGTGATCTGCCCGCCTCGGTCTCCCAAAGTGCTGGGATTACAGGCGTGAGCCACCATGCCCGGCCGGCAGACCATTCATGTACGCACCTGCCTGCTTGCAGGAGAAGGCGAAGACGATGATGTCGTCAAAGGACCAGGTGTAGTCGGGGTGGGGTGGGTAGAAGGCCAGGTTCCTGGACGCCGCCTTCCGCAGGTCGATCAGGAAGGTCGAGTGCACCATGGGAACCGCAAAGCAGCCCTGGCGGTCCCGCTTGCGGATGGGGATGTAGGCGGGGGTGCGCTTGTAGTAGCCCTGTGGGGCGAGAGGCAGAGTTCTGCATGGGGGTCTCGAAAGGTGAGGATGGAGGCACTAGTGGGAGACACGGAACAGGACCAGGTAGAGAGCCGGGCACAACGGTGTGTGCCTGTGGCCCCAGAAACCCAGACTCAAGCCCAGTGTGGGATCTGCGGCCAGGCTGGGTCAAGAACAAAGAGCCTTGGCCTGGCGCAGTGGCTCATGCCTGCAATCCCAGCACTTTAGGAGGTGGAGGCAGGAGAACCGTTTGAACCCAGAAGACGGAGGTTGCAGTGAGCTGAGATCACACCACTGCACTCCAGCCTGGGAGACACAGAGGGACTCCATCCCCCCCCAACAAAAGAAAGAGCCTTGTATTTTCCCAGCTTCAGTAATGAATTCAGAGGTGGCATACGGAGGAGACTAGAGATGGCCCAATCACAGTGGATGACGGCTGGATGCGGCTGGGGTCACTCTCAAGCCAACTAAGAATCAAGCCACCCAAGAAATGGGGAAAGACAGTTATCTGAACACCTGGATCAAGCCATACCTGAAGTCCCATCCTGACACCACCACTTTCTAGCTGTGTGAGTTTAGGCAAGTCACTTCCTCTCTGTGTTTCTGTTTCCACCTCCGAAATAGGAGCATGGGGGACAATTTAAGACCTCTATGCTTCACCCCCAGCTGCCCTCGGGGGGCTGTTTAAAGATTACCCTGAGGTTTTGTTTTGTTTGGTTGAGACCAAGTCTGACTCTGTCACCTGTCACCCAGGCTGGAGTGCCAGGGCACCATCTCGGCTCACTGCAACCTTCACCTCCCGGGTTCAAGGGATTCTCGTGCTTCAGCCTGCCGAGTGGCTGAGGACAGGCACCAGTTACCACGCCTGGCTAATTTTTTGTATTTTAGTAGAGACAGGGTTTCACCGTGTTGCCCAGGGTGGTCTCAAACACCTGAGCTCAGGTGATCCGCCTGCCTCGGCCTCCCAAAGTGCTGGGATTACAGGTGTGAACCACCACACCCAGCCTCCATCATGATTTTTGTAAAACACTCCCCACGAGGCTGTGATGGTAAGTTACACTCCAGTCATGGCACCCACCTGCTCAGCCCAGTCCCCCCAGTCCCCAGGCCCTCACTCTACCTGAGAAGTCATTCCACACCAGAAGTTGGAATATGCAGCCCGGGAATCCAGCATGGGGGCGACCACCGTCTTGTTCTCAGCGATTAGCAGGTTCAGCGTATCAGGGTTAAGGATCAGGTTGTCTGCGTCTACGAACTGCAAAACGCCCCACATGGCATCAGCATGGGCGGCTGGAGTAACCCCAGGTCAGGCTACTGCTCGGAACAGCTGGGGCAAAGGCCAGAGCCCTGGGGGGCTGACAAAGACCTCTGGAAGTACCTCCCACACTGGCTGAAATGGAGCAAGGACCCCATCTTGGGGGCCTGCAGGATACCCTGGATCATGGAAATAAAGCAAAGGTCTTGAGTTCCTTCAAAGAAAATTCTAGGCACTGAGCTAGCCCTGAGAAGTGGATGAACAACCAATGAGCAAGAAGGTAGCAAAACCTTTTTTTTTTCTTTTGAGACACAGTGTTGCTCTGTCACCCAGACTAGAGTGCAGTGGCGTGATCTCAGCTCACTGCAACCTCCGCCTCCTGGGTTGAAGCGATTCTCCTGCCTCAGCCTCTCCAGTAGCTGTGACTACAGGCATGCGCCACCACATCTGGCTAATTTTGTATTTTTAGTAGACGTGGGGAGAAAGTTGCCCAGGTGCCAAGGCAACAGACTGAAGGCACAATCTGTCTCAGCATAATCAATAACTGATTACTTTTAGCAATGATCCCAAATATATTTAGAAACAATCACATAATCAATTATATAATCCATCCTATTAAGTCATGATTCTTTATCAATATTTGCTTTAGTATTACAGCACAGAATGATTTTAGTTTTATAGTATAGACATAATCGGGTGAAATATAACTAGGAACTAAAGGGAAATTGTGAGAAGTGATCAGGAGATGAGAGTAAATGCCTTGCGGTGGCGCCAGCGCCTGGGGAGGCGCCCGTTACTTAGCAGGCCGTGAGGGGAGTTTCCCTTTCACTGGGGAGTTCAGAGAACTCTGCTCTGCCCGGCTCCTGAGGGCCAGCCCGCAGACATCCAGGGGCTTAAACGCCTCTCTGTGGTGCTGTGCTCCCATGGCCACCATCCTTGTCCACTTTCATGTTCCGCTTTCCCACCTGGCTCTCCTTTTAGGTTCGTAGAACTTGTGAGAAGTAACAGCAGGGGAATCCTAAAAGCCTCTGATCTTTCTGATAAGTGCTTAGAAGGATGCTGACGTAGGGATGTGCCTCCTCTCCTGGGCTACCTGAAAGGGAAGGGCCCCTGTACTGTAAGCACGTGATTTGCTGGACCCTATCAATCACGTCAGATGAGTCACTCTCCTTACCCCGCCCCCTGCCTTGTATACAATAAGTGTCAGCGCGTCCAGGCATTCGGGGCCACTCCTGGACTCCGTGCCTTGGTGGTAGTGGTCCCCTGGGCCCAGCTGAGTTCTCTTATCTGTGTCTTGTGTCTTTCTTTCCTGCAATCTAACACCTCCGCACTCAAAAAAACACCCACTAGACGATCCAGGGCTGGACCCTGCAAATAGAGATGGGGTTTCTCCATGTTGGTCAGGCTGATCTCGAACTCTTGACTTCAGAAGATACTCCCGCCTTGGCCTCCCAAAGTGCTGGGATTACAGGCGTGAGCCACAGCACCTGGCTGATTTTTTTTTTTTTTGAAGGGATAGCGTCTTGCTCTGTCACCCAGGCTGGAGTGCAGTGGTGTAATTGTAGCCCATCGCAGCCTGGAACTTCTGGGGTCAACTGATCCTCTCATCTCAGCCTCCCAAGTAGCCGAGAGTGACGCAATGTGTTAACTTCTCCTTCCGGGTCCACAAGGGGCGTGGTTTCAAAGGTAAGAACTTCCCCGTGACAAGCCGACCTGCGTTCTTTCATGTCTCCATCCGGGACCTTAGGCCTCTTCCCCCATTCCTGGGGCAGGGAGGGCCGAGGACCTGAACACCCGGTTACAAGAGTACAGGCATGGGTCACCATACCCGGATAATTCTTTTATTTTTGTTATAATTTTTGTAGAGATACGGTCCCTCTACGTTGCCTAGGGTGATTTTTAACTCCTGGGCTCAAGCGACCCTCCCACCTCAGCCTACCAATGTGCTGGGATTACAGGTGTGAGCCACTGTGCCTGGCCTAAAATTAAAATATATATATACACAAAGAAAATCACATATAGAAAATGATTAGATCCAGACGTTCCCCTCTACCTGGAGGTAAAGACACAGAAGTCACAATATATTACAACACTACTAGAAGGTTTTCGTGTTTTGTTGGTTGTGTGTGTGTGTGTGCGTGTGTTTTCTTTTTGAGATCGAGTCTTGCTCTGTCGCCCAGGCTGGAGTGCAATGACGCAATCTTGGCTCACTGCAACCTCCACCTCCCATGTTCAAGCGATTCTCCCGTCTCAGTCCCCCGAGTAGCTGGGATTACAGACACGTGCCACCACGCCAGGCTAATTTTTGTATTTTTTGGTAGAGATGGGGTTTCACCATGTTGGCCAGGCTGGTCTTGAATTCTTGATCTCAAGTAATACACCTGCCTCGGCCTCCCAAAGTGCTGGGATTACAGGCGTGAGCCACCACACCTGGCCTGGATTCTTCTTCTTTTACTCTTGGTCCACAGAGATGCTTTGTTACCCATGCAGCATCGTTTGGAATATTTGGATCCACTGCCATGAACCACAACAAAAACTAGAACCCCAGCATTTCCCAGTGACCTGGGAATACCATTTCCACGTGGAAACCTTCAGCTGCAGAGGGGAGGTGCGTCTTAGGACAAGCCCTGTGGTCATGTTACATCCCCCATCCGGTCCCTCTGGATGTTTGAATCTGTGACCTTTTCATATTGATTCAGAACAAACAGCCAGATCAGTGTGGGAGTTCCTCAAAAAGCTAAACATAGAATGACTACATGATCCAGGAATCCCATTCCTAGGTATGAGCCAAGAGAATTGAGAGCAAGGACGCAAACAGTTCTTTGGTGTTTGTTTTTGAGACAGAGTCTTGCTCTGTTACCCAGGCTAAAGTGCAGTGGCGTGTGATCTCGGCTCACTGCAACCTACACCCCCTGGGTTCAAGTGATGCTCCTGCCTCAGCGTCCTGAGTAGCTGGGATTACAGGCGAGTACCACCACGCCCAGAAAATTCAAACAGGTCTTTGTATACCTATGTTCATGTCAAAATCCCAACAGCCAGGCAGGATGCAGTGCCTCATGCCTGTAATCCCAGCACTTTGGGAGGCCAAGGTGGGCAGATCACA